CAGTGCTTTTGTCTTTTGCTACATAAGGAACCAGAAGAATCTGTTGCTGTGAACATTTACAATAAAGTGTTTGTCCATTGGAGATGTCATCCAGTGCTGAGTCTACATAAATTTCTTTGCAAATTCCCTTACCCATAGCTAGGATGATACCCCTCCTTTTCCCCAGTGTTTCTTCCTTCCTTCATACCTCCTTCCTCTCTGCCTTCCTTCTTTTCCTTTAGTGAACATCTCTAAGCTGCATCCAATTTTGTATACTGTGTCAAGAAGTATTTGGTATCTGTGGTAAGTTAAGTATTTGATGTGTATAAAAGATACCAATTCTAGGTAAAATTACTTAAAATTCCTATTAATTTATGAATATTATGTAAAATTAATGATGGTGATAACAATTTCAGATCAGCAACAAGAATGACATTGTTTGCAGTGTTTTATCAATGTATCTATATCTGTTTCCAAAATGGATAGACTGGGTTGTAGCTTAGGATTCCAACTCTGGTGAGTACCTTTTTAAAACTTATTTTAGCTAAATTAGCATCCCCCAAAAAACAATTGTGGGTATTGAACCCAGGATCTTGCACAGGCTAGGCAAGTGCTCTACCGCTGAGCTACATCCCCAGTCCTTGGATATATAGTTGAAATACTCATAATATGTCATGGGGTTTCATCATGGGGTGGGAAAATTTATAATCTATGCTCAAACTCTTGGCAGTTAGGTGATTGTATCACAACTCAATACTTAAAAATGCTTACATTATCTCCTCACTATTTGACAATTCTGTTTTGGAATTATACCTATAAGGATATCCAAGCCATAAATATATATTCTTGAAAGATACTGCTTTAGCAAGCCACTTGAAATCATACAAATAATTGTTACTGGCCTTATTAGTGCCAATGTATTTTTCTAATGAGAAAAAACATTGATTTTTAATTTAAAAAATTATAGAAATAAAATCTTCACAGATACCAGAGAAAAATTCAGATAATTCCCCTCTGAAAAGATATAAATTTGGTGTAAATTCATGTTTACTAAATAATTATCTGAGTCTTCAAAACTGAAGAAAGCACAACTCTTACGAAGATCATTTTATCAGAATAACTAAAATACACCTTGGGTGTTTACAATTTG